TGGTCTTGGAGGGAAATCATTCAGTCCTTCACAATTAAACATGTTGTTAGCTGTGGGTTTCACAGATGCCCTTTATTAGATTATGAAAGTTCCCTTCTACTCCTTCTTTGTTGAGTGTGTTTATCATGAAAGGGTGTTGGATTTTGTTAAACACTTTTTCTTTGTCTATGAGATTATCATATGGCTTAATAAAATGTCTTTTATTCTGTTAGTACAGTGTATTACATTAATCGATCTTCAGATGTTAAACTTGCATTCCTGGGATAAATCCCACTTGGTCATGGTGTCTACTTTTTTGTAATGTGTTGCTGGATTTGGTTTGCTAGTGTTTTGTTGAAGATTTCCATGTCCCTGTTCATAAGAGCTATTTGCCTGTAGTTTTCTTTTCTTGTGATATCTTTGTCTGGTTTCAGGATCAGGGTAATACTGGCCTCATGAAATGAGTTGGGAAGTGTTCCCTCCTGTTTTATATTTTGGGAAGATTTTGTGAAGAATTGATATATATTTTTTGTTTACTAATTCAATCTATTTACTTGACATTGGTCTATTCAGATTGTCTGTTCTTGAGTCATTTTCGGTAGTTTGTGTCTTGTGAGAATTTGTGCATTTCATCTAAGTTATCTGATTTATTGGTATATAATTCCTCTTTTATAATTCTTCTTACTTCTGTAGGTCAGTAGTAATGTCCTCCCTTACATTTCTGATTTTAATAATTTGAGTCTTTTTTCTCTTTTTTCTTAGTCAATCTACCTAAACGTTTGTTAATGTTTTCAAAGAACTGGATTTCAGTTTCATTGATACTCTCTATTTCATTAATTTCTACTCTAATCTTTATTATTTCCTTCCTTCCGCTTGCTCTAGGTTTAGTTTGCTTTTTTTCCCCAGTGTCCCAAGGTGAAGGTTCTAATTTTTTAATATGGGTGTTTATAGCTACAAATTTCCCTTCAATCACTGCTTATTGGACACCATAAGTTCTGGCATGTTGTATCTTCATTTTCATTCATCTAAAAGTATTTTCTATTTTACTTTTTGATTTCTTCTTTGACCCAATGGTTTAGAGTGTGTTGTTTACTTTTCACATATTTGTGAGTTTTCCAAATTTCATTCTCACTGATTTCTACTTTCATTTCATTGTGATTGGAGAACACACTTTGTATTATTTCAACCCATTTGTTTATAACCACATATATGGCCTATTTTGGAGGATGTTCCATGTGTACTTGAGAAGAATGTGTATTATGCTGTTGTTGGGTGAAGTGTTTTATAAGTCAATTAGGTATAGTTGGTTTATAGTGTTGTTCTGTTTCCTTATTGATCTTTTTTCCAGTTTTTCTATCCGTTATTGAAAGTGGAGTACTGAAGTCTCCAACTATTACTGTTGAGTTGTCTATTTCTCCTTTCATTTCTGTCAGTTTGTTTCCTTTATGATTTGGGTATATGTTATTAGGTGCATATATGTTTATGATCATTATAGTTTCCTGAAGGATTGACCCTTTTACCATTATAAAATGTTCCTCTTTATTTCTAGTAACATTTTTTTGTTGTTGTTTTAAAGTCTATTATGTTTGTTATCAGTAAAACCACTCCAGTTTGTTTGTGGTTGCTGTTTGCATGATCTAATTTTTCCATGCTATTACTTTCAATATATTTGTATCTTTGAATATATAGTGTGTCTCCTGTAGGCAGTATATAGTTAAGTTTTGTTTTTCCATGCAGTGGGACTATTTTTGCCTTTTGATTGTTTAATACATATTTTGTTATTGTTTGTTATTATATAGTTGGAGTTACAGCTACCATTTAACATTTTGCTTTCTGTGTCTCATGTCTTTTTTTATTCCTCTTTTCCTCCTTTACCACTCTTTTGATTTAACTGAAATTTTATAAACAGCATTTTAATTTATTTAGTAATTTTTCCCACTATTTTATTTTTACTTTCTTTCAGAAACGTTACTCTTATATAGCTCTATTTCCATTCCCCCCTTGGTGGCATTGTTGTTTTACAAAGCACACCTATAAATGTTACAAACCCAACAATACACTATTACAATTATTTACATAATTTTATGTCTTCTGAAGAAGCTGAGAGAAGAAAGGACAGCAAGTTTATTTACATTTACTTAAGGTTTGTTATATTCACCTTCCTATTTATCATTTCTGGTTGTCTTCACTTGTTCCTGTGGATTTAAGTTACCATATGTAGTCATTTTCTTTAGCCCAATACAGCTGTGCTCCCAACAACCTCCTTTGTGCAGTTACTGGTAAATATATTACACATAGATCACATTTTTATTTATCAAAAGCCCAACATACAGTATATACATATTATTTTATACTATTGTTTTTTAAATCACTTAACAGAAGAAGGGACAGGAGCTGTGTATTTATACTGTCTCTTATAATAATTATATAATCACCTTTACAGGTGCTCTTTGCTTTTCCATGTTTAGCTGCTGGCCGTGTTACTTCAGTGAAGTCAATTTCACCCTCACAGTGTGAGCTTCTGGTGCTGCCCCTTGGGGGGCACAACCCTGGGGATGCCCACAGTGGCCCTGAGACGACAGCTTGGGTAGAGCTCTCTTTGACTATCTCTTTCCTTAACCACATGCACAGTTAGCTCCACTAATTGCCGTCCGATTGCTCTATTTTTTCAACAACGCCCTGGGCATAAACTGCTCCACATACCAATCCAATTAAATTTGGGTTTCTTTGAAGTGATAGTTTTTGAGGTCAGAGTTTTTTTTTGTTTGTTTTTGTTTTTGTTTTGTGGTACGCGGGCCTCTCACTGCTGTGGCCTCTCCCGTCGCGGAGCACAGGCTCCGGACGCGCAGGCCCAGCGGCCATGGCTCACGGGCCCAGCCGCTCCGCGGCATGTGGGATCTTCCCGGACCGGGGCACGAACCCGTATCCCCTGCATCGGCAGGCTGACTCTCAACCACTGCGCCGCCAGGGAAGCCCTAAGTGGTTGCTTTTTTCCTAATTTTCACGAACTTCCCTGGGGAATGGGTCAGCAGAGATCCATGTGCCATCATGCTAGAAGTGGATCTCCTGACCCTCACTTTAGATGCAACACGTTTCTGGTTATCATGCTTTAAAGTAAGACACCAACATGTAGAGACGTGAACACGTTTAGTGATATTGATTTGCTCATGGAAACCATCTGTTCTAAAATTAATGGAAGCAACTAAAAGAGCAAAGCCAACAGGAGAGATTTAGGACTTCTCACGTTTGCTAATTCAGGAAACACTTATGGTATCGCTGCGTTGAGCTAGGGACTAAGCACCGGCCGTATAATCACTTCCCAGATGATGAGTAGGGCAGAGGCAACAGAACACAAGCTTCCTGAAGACAGGGGTCATGTGTCTGGGCTGTCCTTTGCTCACGCCCACTTCCTAGCACAGGCTGGGGGGACAGAGTAGATGCTCAGTAGCCATTTGTTGTTAAGACTGAACTGACAGGGTCCTCGCCCTTACAAAGTGAACAACCCAGGTGGGAGATGCACAAGAAAGATCCTGCAAAAATAGTGATAAGTGTCACAACAAAAGCACTTAGTAGAGCCCTGAGAAATTTCTATTTGGCAAATTTTGATAACTGAAAGAGCAACTTCATATGTTCAACCCAGTGTGTACAGAGCTTAGGAGTTGAGGGAGCGTCTGAAAAGGTATTGGCTGGGAGCCCTGCTTTGTGGGATTGGTCCTTGAAGTTTCCTGCACACGTTAAATCTCGTTCTTGATTGGCAACCTCAACGGATAGAAGGTGAGGGGTGGGCATGTCTGTATGCAGATTTCTCCTCCCCATCTCCCCCGCCGCACCTTTAACTGCTCCATGAGGATTCTACCTGGATCCAAGTTTAAAAGGGAGAGGAAGCAGTAGGAGAACCCAATGGGACACCTGGGGTGGGCATGGAGTTGCTTTATTGAGTCTCCCTCAAAAGTACCAAGAGGCATATCTAATATTCCATGACAGTTTTGATAAAAGGGAGGCTGGATATTAATTCTGTAAAGAAGAACCTCATTTTTTAAAAATGTAAAACCAGCTTTACGTTAACAGACATTAACATTCTATACCATTAAAGCAGATCATAATGTTCAATGAACCAGAATAGTGTCGTGAATTAGTCTCGCTAGTATATTTTCTTGGGTTTTATGCCAACACAGTCTGGTTTCATTTACTGTAAATATCAAGACTCCCACTGTTCCACTGAAATTTTTTCAGATCACTCAATTTCACCAGATCTTTCACGTACAGATATATAGGGCTGGCTTCAGCAGAATACTCTGATGAATGATTTTGAGCTTCTGTATAAAAAAGCTTGGCTTCCACCTTCTAGGAAATAATCAAACAAATAAACGGCATTCATTTTACTAGAATCAGATGATGTGAATGGATCTTGGTAGCTAGTTTCTGCTCTGCAGACCTAATCTCAGGCCGCTGCGGTTCTCAGCAGCTATTTGACTTTGAGGATATTAGCTTTAGTATTCTCAATTGCACTGCAAAGCAATGTGTTGTAAAAATAAAAAGGTAAGGCTCTCGTGTAAGTCGGTGTAGGATTTAGCAATGCTGATTTCTGGCACCAAACATTCATCTGTGGCGAATTTCCCAATTGCTTTTTGGCCTTCCTGGAGTTATTAGTTCAACAACAACAAAACAATGCAAGCACCTACTACGCGCCATACAAAAAGCAAGCAAGGGCTTCCCTGGTGGCGCAGTGGTTAAGAATCTGCCTGCCAGTGCGGGGGACAAGGGTTCGATCCCTGATCTGGGAAGATCCCACATGCTGTGCAGTAACTAAGCCCGTGCACCACAGCTACCGAGCCTGCGCTCTAGAGCCCGCGAGCCACAACCACTGAGCCCACACGCCTAGAGCCCATGCTCCGCAACGAGAGACGCCACCACAATGACAAGACGGCACGCAGCAACGAAGGCCCAATGCAGCCAAAAAAAAGAGAATAGGGCACGACTCTCCCAAGAACATACAGGCCCTTGAATTGTTCTTCCCCCAAATGAAGGTGCGTCCCGAAGGCTACACCTTTGCGATACCACGTGCCAGCTGCGCCTAGTATTCCAGTTTCTCCCACGCTCTGCACGGTTCCTGACAATTCCTCCCTGACGCAGTTTTAATTGTCAAGACGGTGCTGCTACCCGCCATCCCCCCACGTCTTGCGCGTCGGAGGGCGGAGGAGTAGTGGGAGGGGTCGCGGTGGGTGCCCAGTGCCTCGCCCCCTGCCCTCCCGCCGCCTTCGCGGGAGCCGCGCCCCGTCCCTTTCTCCAGCTCTGCCGTCCTCACCTGTCCGGACTCTGATGCCCCGTCACCCGTCCCGGCTCTGCTTCCCCCTCACGTGTCCTCTCTCGGGCGGCAGCGCGCTGCGGTCGCAGTCGCCGGTGGCGTCAGCGCGGGCGGTGGCGGCCGTGGCCCAGGCAGCCTGGCTGTCCGGCGGCGGAGCGCATGGGCGGCGCAGGCCGTGAGCTCGCGCGCGCCGCACGTGCTGGTGGAACCCGCGCCCGCCAGAACCATCTGGTGTACCGCAACGGGGACCCGTTCTACGTGGGCCGCAAGTTCGCGCTGTCGCGGCGCCCCGTGGCCACCTTCGAGGCGCTGCTGGAGCAGCTGACGGAGCAGGTGGAGGTGCCCTTCGGTGCGCGGCGCCTCTTCACGCCGACGCGCGGGCGCCCGGTGAGCGAACTGGACGCGCTGCAGGCCGGCGGCAAGTACGTGGCGGCCGGGCGCGAGCGCTTCAGGAAGCTGGAGTAAGTGCCGCCGCGCCCCCCGGCCTCTGCGCCCGCCCCCCGGCTCCATCGCCTCGCCCCGCGGGGCTGTGGACCGCGAACGGGTCCGCCACGGCCTGGTGGCCCGTCCTGTTTCCGCGGGGCTGGGAACCGCGACCCCGGTCTGCCGCGGCCTGGTGGCCCGTCCTGTCCCCGCGGGGCTGGGAACCGAGACCCGGGTCTGCCCCGGCCTGGTGGCCCGTCCTGTTCCTGCGGTGCCGGGGAACGCGACCCGGGTCTGCTCAGGTCTGGTGGCCCGTCCTGTCCTCGCGAGGCTGGGGACCGCGTCCCACTTCTGCCCCCGCCCAGCGCCGCCGTCCTGTATGGACTTTCTCTGCGAGGCCTCCTCAGGCCGCAGTGCACCCTGCATGCCCCCGGACATCGCCCCTGCTCGCCTTGTGGGGAGGGCAGACCAGCTACTATCTCCCGACCCATCAGTATTGGAGAGAATTAGAAAGAGGATGGGGAGAGGGGGCGGCGGGTGTGGCAGTGAAAATAGGGTGCCCAGTGTCGCCTCTTTGAAAAGGTGACCTCTGCACGGAGGTCTGCAGGAAGAAAGGGAGTGGCCACGCGGAGGGAGCCTGGGGAAGCACGCTGGCAGGCAGAACGCCGAGCTGGGTTACAGCTTGTCCAGGCTGGTGTCCTCGGGACCTGCGCACGCCTCCTTCCCTGAGAGCACTTACTGAGCTGTGTGTCGGCCCAGCTCGCCGCTCTCTATCCTGCTGGTTAAGACCCTACAGAGGGCAGGCACCCGTGATTTCTGAAACCCTGGCACCTGACGCAATGCCGGCCTACAGTACAGCCTCTGAATGCTGGCCTGGGAGCAAGGACACCCACCCCAGCGTCTGCTGCCATCAAGACAGCAGCCGCGGACAGATGGCGGCTGTCCTGGTGAAACAGGCCTGTGTATCAACGTCAGGGCCACTCAGAAAGCCATAATGGAAATTGGCCACATTCAGGCTGTCAGTTGTACTTGTGGGTACCCACTCAAAGCGTCAGTTTAATTCTTTTTTGTTTAGCCTGGGACTGGTATTGCATTCTCTTTGAGATCTTGCTGCAAATGGGGTTATGGCACACTCTTCTGTTTATACTCTTACTTTTCTTCCCAAGAGTACCTCAGTCTTTTGTGCACTTATAATCCTTGTAACTTCTCTAAGCTTTCTTGGTAACTGTCATTATACAAATGTCATTGCAAACCAACGGTGTCTTGCAGGTCCTTAACAAAAGCTATCGTGCGTGTCTCCCTGCAGGGCAGCCTCGGGGCTGCTGCAGAGGGCCTTACAGTGTATGCTTTGGGGAGATAAGAGACAAACAGAAGTAACCACAAAAGAGAAAGTGGTAACGGCTAGGACAGAAGCACAGGGTTAATTCTGTCTAGGTGAAGGACCTCAGAAAAGGCTTCCTTTGCCGAATGGAAGGGAGAAAATTGTTTTGTTTCTTAATCCTCTGTGAATTCCTGGGCTGCCTTGGCTTCACTCATTTCTTGTGTCTGCCTCTAAAGATGTTATTACCGTTCCTTACATTGTTGTTAACTCTTGTTTCTTTTATTGTGAGATGTATCATATATACAGAAGAGTGTATACAGTTTTATGTATAGTTTAAAGAATAGTAATAAAGCAAGCCTCTGTGTAAACTACAACCCAGATTACGCAAAAGAGCATTACCAGTGTTTTAAAAACCTCCTACCTCCACTCCCATCCTTTGCCCACAGGTAACCACTACTTTGGCTTTTGTAATGATCATCTTTTCATAGTAATCTATCCCTGAAGGGTAGATTTTTTTTCAATGTTTTATGTACTTTATGTAAATGCAATTATATTGCATATATTTCGTTACTTGCTTTTTCACACAATAATATGCTTTTGAGACTCATCCATGTTAAAAGCATGTAGCTGTAGTCATTCGTTTTTACTGTTATGTATTATTTCATTGACTGATATACCAGTTTATTTATCCAATCAGCTGATGGATAATTTGGGTCATTTTAAATTTTATGCTAAAGTAAGCAACGCTGCTGTAAACATCCTTTTGCCTGTCTCCTGGCGCACACATGGGTAAGACTTTCTCTGGGAGAGCATGTGGGTTATCAGTTGGTGCATATCCCATTAGTGCAAGCTGATTGGCGTAAAAGAGCATTTATTATCTCATAGTTCCTGTGACCAGGAAGTCCAGAGCGGTTCTGGCTCAGAGACTCTTGTGAGTTTGCAGTCAAGATGCTGACTCCAGTCATATCTGAAGGCCTGACCCGGGTAGGTGCTTGCAGGCTCACTCACGTGGCCATGGCAGGAAGCTTCATTCCTGCCGTGAGCCTGTCCATGGGAGATCTAGCAGCTGGCTCTCCCTAGCGTGAGTGATCCAGGCTGAAGCCACAGTGTCTGTTGTTACAGCTGATTCTCTGTTGCGCTGTCTTCTCTTCTCCTCTGCCTAGTTACCTCTGTGTGCTGGACATTTTTACTCTTAAAACTTATTTGCAGGGCTTCCCGGGTGGCGCAGTGGTTGAGAGTCCGCCCCCTCCCCCCAAAAAAGTTAAAAACAAAAAACTTATTTGCGGAAATCATTTGAGGCCTGAGGTGATATTAGCTTTTGCCGAAGTGGCAGCTTTGTTTGGCCAGCTGCCTGTTCATCCCAGTTCACGATCACCTGATACAGCTTCAGCGCCCAGTTCACGATCAACTGATACAGCTTTGGCGTGTGGGGTGGTTCGGACTGACCAGGTGTCTGGAAGCCAGGATGCTGCTCACTCCTCAGGTGCGGGCAGTGAGGTCCCAGTTCACTAGGAGGGTGGTTTACAAGGGCCCCCGTTGTTGGTGGGTCCTGAACCAGTGCTTTTCCTGTGGCCACAAAAGGCTGTCAGAACCATGGTTCACCCTGTCAGCTCCCTGTTCCCTGGACCAAAGTGGCCCCAGATGTAGGCCTCATGGCTTTGGATTGCCTTCCTTTCCTGGAGTGTGGGAATTCCTATCTTGATAGGTGTCTTATGTTTCAAAGACATGTTTTTCAGTGTGTCCGGTTTTGTTTTTTAGTGGAAAGGTTGACTGGGGTACTTCGTCCATGGTTCCCAGAGCAGAGGTCTCTTGCCCTTTTCCTTCACGTGTGTTTTTGTTATGTTTCTGTGGATGGAGTGCCCTTTAGACCATGAGTGGTATTTTTCATTGTCTTCTAACTTGGTGGTTTCTGATGAGATATCAGCTATCATCGTTCACTTCTCTGAAAGTAATACTTTATCTCTTTTAGCTTCTTAAAATATATGCTGTTTGATTCTGAGTACTGTGCTTTAAACGATACGTCTAAGTGCAGATTTATTGAATTACCTTGAGTCTCTGGTGTGGTGACTCAGCCATTGTCTCTTCAGGTGATGACTCTGTCTTATGTTCTCTCTCTTTGCTTTCTGTATCTGGGTTGATGTGGGTTGGCTTATTTCATTAGCTCTAACTTCCAAGAGTCCCCCTCTTTTTCATGTAATTCTCTCTCTCTCTTTTATCTTTGTGCTATAATCTAGGTACTTTTGCCTAGATTTGATTAATTTTTTTCTGCTGTGTATACTATGCTTCAAACCAATTTATTGAATTTTAAATTTAAATCATTCAGTTTGTCATTTCCAAACATTCTATCTGGTTCTTTTCAAATCCTCCATGTTATTCTCTCGAGTCTCTTTGTCCTGCATGTATTTTCAAGCTTGTCTTTTATTGAAATATTGTCTTTCTGTGGTCTGTACCTGTAATCCCAGTGTTTGAAGCTCATCTCTGTTTTCTCTTATTTCACCTGGTTTTCTCTCATGATCCTTTCTGTCCTTGTTAGTTTACTTATTTTTTTGACTGCAAATGACTCCCTTTCTATGGTTTTTTTTTTTTTTTTTTTTAGGAAATTCTTCAAGGGCTGAGATAAAGGTGAGATTCTCCAGAGAGGATTTCCATTCTCTTTTCCCAAATGCCAGGAATGCTTCCTCTCCAAAGATACTCCAAATTAAATCAGTAGCTTGAGTTTTTTTGGACCACCCAGATAGTGCTATTTTGTGAGTTAGCTGGCTTGTGATTCAAATTATTAATGGCATCTGCAAGGATGCAAACTTGACATCTTATTGTTTTTGAAGAAAAATCATAAGTCACAGACATCACAGTTGCTAAGAGTTTGGATTAATGCCATAACATTTTAGATTTACATTTATTAATGTACATTTATTTACATTATTACATTTATTTACATTTATTTAGATTTACATTTAATCCTGGTATGTATGAGAATTCACTGACAAGAATGTAGTCCTTTGTAGATGTTTGATTTTGTTATTATTTTTTCAGGGTTAGTTGCTGCATGCTACACACTGACTGTGTCCCCCTGAAATTCATATGTTGAAACTGAATCCCTCATGTGGTGGTGTCGACTTGAAAAAAATGCACAGTGTAAGAGCTGTGAGTTAAGTTTATTCAGTGTCTCACTGAGGACCGTAGCTGGGAGACAGCCTCTCAGACAGCCCCAGGGAACTGCTCTGGAGAGGGTGGGAGAAGACAGTGTTCCTGTGATTTTGGTGAAGGAGTATGTGCACTCAGGCACCCGTCACAGGAGAAGGTTGCTGCTAGTCGCAAGGAACAGATATCTCAGTTAATGATTTTAGTGCTTTTCTAAGTATGGAAAGATGCAAGAATCCAGATTCATAAAAAATTTCTTTTTTTAAAAAAATAAATTTTAAAATTTATTTTTGGCTGTGTTGGGTCTTTGTTGCTGTGTGTGGGCTCTCTCTAGTTGCAGCGAGTGGGGGCTACTCTTCGTTGCGGTGCGCGGGCTTCTCATTGCAGGGATTTGTCTTGTTGCGGAGCACAGGCTCTAGGCACATGGACTTCAGTAGTTGTGGTGCACGGGCTTCTCATTGTGGTGGCTTTTCTTGTTGCGGAGCATGGGCTCTAGAGTGCAGGCTCACTAGTTGTGGCACTGGGCTCAGTAGTTGTGGCTAGTGGACTCTAGAGCGCAGGCTCAGTAGTTGTGGCTCGCGGCTCTAGAGTGCATCCTCAGTAGTTGTGGCTTGCGGGCTCTAGAGCGCAGCCTCAGTAGCTGTGGCACACGGGCTTACCCCTTCCTCCAGGTGAGGACACAGCGAGAACACACCATCTATGAACCGGGAAGGGGGTCCTCAGCAGACACTGAATATATCAGTGCCTTGATCTCAGACTTCCAGCCTCCAGAACGTGAGAAACAAATGTCTGCTGTTTAAGATCCCCCTACCCCAGTCTGTGGTACTTTTGTTAGGGCAGCCTGAACAGACTCAGACATTGCGTATGCTGGATTCTGACTTCCTACCAGAATCTGGTCTTCACTGTTGTTTTATGACCACAAAAGGTTTCAACAAAAATTGACTTTAAAATCCTTTTCAACTTATGTGTGATGAAAAGTTTAATTTTACCCCAAAACGTTTTCTCGTAAAATTGACATGTGTTCTGTCTGTGAGCAGGTGAGGAAGGAAGCTTGTGAAGCACCGACCGTCACTCCTGGGCCAAGATCAGGAAATTCTTTCCTCTTTCTGTGGGTTGAGGCATTTTCTAATAGATCCTGTGAGACTTCTGATTTGGTAGGGAGATTTTCAGTGTTTATTTAAAAGGTTTTGGACATGTGGCAGAGATATTGAGAAAGACTTTGAGGTGTTTCTCTTCCCAGATTTCTTAATGTTGATTATTATTTTCTGTAGGGAGAGGAATGTGATCCAGTTCACTGAGCAGGGAGGGGAGGTGGGATTCCCACGTGGTCGAGACCCTCTGTTATTTTGCATTTTCCATGTACCTTCATTGCTATCAAACGGATGGGAGAGATTTGCATATGAAGTTCAACGTGGAGAGGCATTTGGATTTCGTTTTCTCTACTACCTTTTAGATCAATGAAGTATGAAATCGGAACCCAGACGTTGATGAATAAAGCTCTGATTTTAATTTTGGCTTGATTTATACTGGTATCAGTGATCTAGCACTTGTTGGAATGTATGTTCTGTACTTACTGAGCCATTGAACGGTTAAAATTAATTTTCACCAGCAAATAATCTTCTAATTGTGCCACCAGCAGATGAACTTTGAAGTGCAACCTGATGATATATTAACCGTCCTGGAGGGTTTCTCATGGTTGTAAAATGGTACACTGAGAAGACAAACACCATAACATCTTCCCCAATCCAATCATCATTCAAACATTTCCTACATTTTCTGGAATAAATTAATGTGAGAAGAGAAACATCATTTTTTCCTCTATAAAACAAAATATTATAGGCTAATAATCACTTTAAAAATGTGTCCCGTAAAGCCTGGAATTAATGATTTCTTTTGTAGAGAAAGTCATATTCGCAACAAAATTTATATCAGAGCATTGTGTGTGTATGTGTATGTGTGTTTGTATGTATGTGTATGTGTTTAGGTGTGTATGTATGTATGTGTGCGTGCGTGTGTATGCGTGTGTATGTGTGTGTAGTGTGTGTGTGTGTTTCGAGAGACCCCAAAGAATTTGAATGTGTATGTGTATTGTGTGTATGTGTGTGTGTGTTTCGAGAGACCCCAAAGAATTTGAATTATAGTAGGAGTTTTTCCTATTTACCTTAGGAGTTTGCTGTTGAGATTCAAAGTGAAAATGCTATTTAAATCTAACTATGGCAGCTCCTTGACACCCCAACCTGTACTTTGACTCCCCTAACCACCCACCTGTACCCGAGGACTAGTGTGTAACCGGGAGAGGGGCAAAGTGTGTGGACAGACAGCCACGCCCGAGGAAGAGGAATGTGGTCTCAGAGCCAGAAGACCTGGGGTGAACAGAATCCTGGCTTTTCCCATGTGGGTAGCACTTAGCAAATCAAATCACCTCGCTGAGACTCAGCTTCCTCATCAATAAACCAGGGCTGGTTAGTATCTGCTCCAAAGGGAGTGATATGAGTCAGAGTGAAATGAGCGCAGCGCTTTGAAATGCCTGCCTTGATCTGGTGGCTGGCTTCTTCCTTTCCTTTAATCTTGGGAAGCAGCAGGAGGAACATTGCACATTAACATCTAGTCTCTGCTTCCAGTTCCTGCCCCCCACACCCCCAGGGAGACCCAGGTCCAGCCAGGAACCTCCTGCAGACACCTGGCTTAAAGACTTGGGGCCACTGGATCTCTGAGGAATTACTCGTTCCCTCTTTCCATTCTATTTCTGTGTTTTTTGGAAGGCAACATTGAAACAGTAAATAACATTTTGTGGGTTTTTTGTGATCTTTTTACACCTTAATTTCTGTATTTATTTATGCCTTTCGTTTCCATTTAATGAGAGTAAGTTGTCTCATTAGGGGGATTAATGTGCGTCATCAAATATGGAATTTGGGAACTTAAGACTAAAATACCTATTTGAAGATGAGCACAGGGGGATGGAGGGGAGCTGTAAGCCGAGGGGGTGACTTGGAGATTTGCAGGCGCTTTGGTTCACATAGTTTTCGAAGGTTTGAATTGGCTGCCGCACTTTATAATGGGGGTGTTCATGTAATATGAAATTTTGGTTTCCATTTAAAAAAAAAATAGAGGATTTTTGGGACTTCCCTGGTTGCACAGTGGTTAAGAATCCGCCTGCCAATGCAGGGCACACGGGTTTGATCCCTGGTCCGGGAAGATCCCACATGCTGCGGAGCAACTAAGCCCGTGCGCCACAACTTCTGAAGCCCGTGCGCCTAGAGCCCATGCTCTGCAACAAGAGAAGCCACCGCAATGAGAACCTGCACACTACAACAAAGAGTAGGCCCCACTCGCAGCAACTAAAGAAAGCCCGTGCGTAGCAACAAAGACCCAACGCAGCCAAAAAGAAATAAATTAAAGAAACAAAACAAAACCAGTGTAGTTTAAAAAAAACAAAATAATAAAAAATAGAGGATTTTTATTGTTTAAAAAGACTTAGTTTTATTTATTTATTTATTATTATTATTTTTTGGCTGTGTCAGGTCTTAGCTGCAACATGCGGGATCTTCCGTTGTGGTGTGCGAGCTCAGTAGTTGTGGTGCGAGGGCTTAGTTGTCCTGCAGCATGTAGGATCTTAGTTCGCCGACCAGAGATCGAACCTGCGTGCCCTGAATTGGAAGGCACATTCTTTACCACTGGACCACCAGGGAAGTCCCAAGGACTTAGTTTTTAGTAGCCTGCATTTCCACAGGAAAACAGTGCCCTGCAATTATGAGCACTCCCACTAGCCACAGTCCCCACCATTCCCTAATACCACCCTTTGCAAGCATCATCATTTACTTGCCCAGCCTCTGTAGGCATCTGAGCTTGTGACTCTTGACTGTATATTAAGTACTTAAAAATGTCTTTTTCCTTTCATCTGCCGACTCGTAATCAATCCTTCTCTGACTGTTGCTAAAACCATTGTCAAGAACAATCTCAAATACATTAAAAAATTGTTTTAAATCAGGAAGAAACCCTAACACATATAAATCTTAACGTATTATTTATTATCATTAAAAATATCTGTTCTGTTTTTGAGGCACATGGAAGGCTCTCCAAAAGCCCCCAAGGGTCACGAATTCTGTTGGCGGGGCTCATACACATTTTATTCCAGTGGCTCTTTCCCAACATTCAGTGTTGGCAGAATGGGGACAGTGATGGCATTCTGTGAGACAGGAAGGGACAGCGCAGGTGAGAGGGAGCTGGGCAAGGTGTCTGGGACTCTGCTCTGCCTTTGGCCAGTGGTGGGCCCTGGAGCCGTTAGTGATCCAGTAAAGTTCTCTTTGATTGGTCTCCAAGGTTCCTCTTTGATTAATAGTGTTGTATGAGGAAAAGCAATGCCACTGAAGGACAGTTTTCCTGGGTGATGCCCACGGTAGCCAGTATGAACATTTTCCTGCAATGACATTGCTATTGTATATTGATGTGAGCATTTATGGTGCTCTAGATTTTAGTTTTAAGTTGCTGTGGGGTGGAGTCATCTCTAAAGAGGCTCAGATTTTCTATCTAAATATTTACCTTCTAGTTAGGTTTTTCTTTCTTTTGCAGTTATTTTAATATAGTTCCCAGCAGACCTGCAAGGATGAGAAAGTTGAAGGAAGTAAGTGTTCACTACTAACTACTAAAGGTGGGATATATTGGATGATTTGGTAAAAATTAAAATGTCAATATTGAATAATTGAAGTTTGATAAAAGCAGCATTTGGTAGGGAATGTCTATAAAGGCGTGCTGCTCTTGAAGCTAGAAGTGGCTGTGCAAGCTCGTTCTGTTTGTCAGAGCACTTAAGTCACTAAGATGATGGAAGTCGGTAAGAACGTTCGTTTGAAGACCACGGTTAGGGAGAGATTCATCTTTGAGATGCAGAGTGCTAGCATTTATTAAGACTTTTTCCTCCTCTTTTGTTTTGGGGATTTGGAAAGACAGGTGACAGGAAAAGTTATTTGAAGTTACACGGTGTTGAAGCTAATTATAATGTTAAATTTAAAGATTTGCTCTGTGTTCTGAACATTTTTGTCCTTGATAGACATTTGAAAGACTACAAGATGGAACCTTCCATCACTCTGTTCACATCACTTGAGCCTCAGCAAAACAGCAACAACAGCAAAACAACCCAAATTTCCTGTGTAAGTTAAAAGAGATCCACCTTTTAAATAAGCGACAAAAATCAGGTTTGAGCGAGTAGCCTGATGGTGATATTTAGAATGCAAGATGATTTCTACTTCTCAATTTTGTAAATGGACTTCTTGTGGAGCGCTTCGAAGGTGAGCTGTTTTTAGGGTATCTACTTCTCTAAGTGGTAGTTTTGCTATTAAGTTCTCTCCTCTACGGAAAGGAGATGAGAATGTGTCTTAGAGGATGGTTGTGAGGATTACGTGATAAACTAGACATAACGTACGGGCACTAGATAAGTGTCGGTTCTCGTCCTCCACGTCTTAAAGAAGCAGGGCCTCTCTGTGTCCTTGGACTCCCCGGTGCTCCAGTAGAGGGCAGTCTAGCAGCTCTTGCATCGCCCACAGGCACCAGCCTGCAGAAGCATTTAGCTGCTTCCTTGCCTCTGCACTTTAAGGCTGTGCGATGAACCAAATCAAATTTATTACCTACCCACCTTAGACTGTAACTTGCCAGGGGCAGGAGGGCGAGTTTCCAACAAGAAAGCAATTCTGGCAGTCGTTGAATTTCAGGGCTACTACCTTAATAAATAGAGAGGAAATGGTATATGATTATCCTTAACATCTAAGTCCCTGCATCCCCCTGTCCTGGTGGGGCGGGAGTGGGATTGAACAACGATTCTGAAGCGTACCCCTCGAGAGAGACTGTTCAAGTTTGAGTCTATGTTTATCCTTTGTACATGTCAATGATTTAAAAACATTAGACATGATTATAAGGCAACATTTAGCATTTTAGGACAGGAAGGGAACTTCTAGATTATTTATCAAAACTCCCTGTTTTCTAGTTGAGGATGCGGTGATGGGAGAGGTTACGAGGGTACCAGCATTGAAATGCCCACAGGAGCCTCGTCCTCCCAGGGTTGGTACTAGATTGCCGTGCACTCATGCTAATGAGACTATAGTTGCCCAAAGAGTTTTGTAATTGTTCTTTTGAAATTTACACTCTTTTCATTAAAAAAATCTGATTTTACAGTCGTTCTTGCTGAGAAAAATGTCAAAAATGCTGTGCAGAAAAGCTCAGTGAGGAAAGTGAAGATCACTTACAATCCTACCTCCCAAAGATCAGCGCACTCTGCATTTTGTCATGTCCATTTCCAGTTGTTCTTCTCTGCACAAGTTGCAAATACCTATCTATCTCTCTATCATCTTCACAGATACACACATATATACATTACATGCATTGATATCTATATATTTACAGAAATGGAGTCCATCAATACGTACTATTTTCTTTTTCATTTTTTAAACTTTGTATTTTATATTGGGGTGCAGTTGCTTAACAGTGTCGTGAGTTTCAGGTATACGGCAAAGTGATTTACATGGTATTTTCCTTTCTGCTTTTTATTAACTGTGTATCATGACAGTTTAACATAGTAAAGGATCTTCTGCCACATGATTTTTAGTGGCTGCAAAATGTTCCGTCACGTGACTCTAGCATAATTATTTAACCCATTCCCTGTCAACAGACCTTACATCCTTCTTCTTTTTCATTATTGTAACTAGGCATTGGGATGGACCCTGATAGAGCCGTCATGATTGTTTATAGAGAAGAGGAGTTACACGCACAATTTTTACCTCTTTAATATTTACTTCCAGAAAGTTCCTAAGAACATGTATTGCTTCCAGTGGTGCCTGGGAATGCCATCACTGCCCTCGGGTGCTGTGACGTACTGCACAGCGTGGAGGCCTGCGAGGTGCTTGATGGTCACTACCCCGGCCCCCTCTCCTTTGGTGGCAGAAGTGACTCCCTAAAAGTGGCTTGTGATTATTGCTGCTTGCTATGTAGTATCTTCGTGGACATTCATCTGTGATGTAGACAAGGACTCTGCTGGTCCCGTGAGGAGCCCATTCGAGCAGCCGGCAGTTTACGTCCGTGTCCTGCTGTCCCGTATGAGGACGTAGAGCTGCCAGTCACGGGGCTGAAGTTCCTCAGTCACTTAGTGGGTGCCTCTCTTTTGTCCTCCATACTCTGCTCACGTAACCACTAACTTAAACTTCCTTTGTCACCTCTCACTACTCACTACCACTTACTAAACCACAGTTTAGCTGCTTTGTGGTTTGTGGGGCCGCGCCCGTGATTCGGGGGATAACATAATACTTAATGAGCTAAAAGACTTGTCTTTTTAAACATACATTTATTTATTTATTTATTTTCGGCTGCGTTGGGTCTTCGTTGCTGCGCGTGGGCTTTTCTCTAGTTGCGGCGAGCGGGGGCTACTCTTCGTTGCGGTGCGCGGGCTTCTCATTGCGGTGGCTTTTCCTGTTGCGGAGCACGGGCTCTAGGTGCGCAGGCTTCAGTAGTTGTGGTTCACGGGCTCGGTAGTTGTGGCTCATGGGCTCTAGAGCGCGAGCTCAGTAGTTGTGGCTCACGGGCATAGCTGCTCTGCGGCATGTGGGATCTTCCCGGACCAGGGCTTGAACCCGTGTCCCCTGCATTGGCAGGTGGATTCTTAACCACTGCACCCACAGGGAAGTCCGGGGAGGAGGTCTTAATATCTGCCACTTAAAAGATGAATCAAGAGTTCAAGACAGGTTAAGTGACGTGTACAGAGCTAGGCAGCAAGTTAGTAACAGAACTTGGTGTGAAACTAGAGATGAATCCGGGGTCCCCCCACCCCCTTCCTTGCGGAAAGCCTCATTACTGCACTGTACAACCTGTGCATATTAAATGGGTTTCTTCTGTTTAATTCACAGAATTAAATTCCGTGAATTATTTCTGGTGGATACATGAGCGCTCACCTTACAGAAAGAGCCGCACTTCGTGCACTGGGGTGGGACAGAACGGATGGTGCCATGCTGCGTTGGCACAGCGCAGGCTCTGCTGGGGGACCGGAAGCAGAGGGTCAGTGCCACGGGGCACTCGCTCTCCAGGATCTGTGCAGAGGGCTGTGGGAACCGATGCCCCATAGGATGTGCTGCAGAAGGGGGACCATGCCCTCCGCAGTGCCACCTCATTCTAGGACAGTGGAGAACAGCTTTGCAAGGACTAAAATCTCCCCAGGCCTTGTGGGGTGTCGAGGCCACGGGCAGCCCCTGCTGCATCTGCTCCAGCCGGCTGGTTCAGTTCACACAATGGGCCTTAAGGATGTTTATAGCAGCATGTTCTTTTTTTTAGTAATTATAAAAACCTGGGAACCATGTGAATGTCCATCAGTAGAGGAATGGTTGAATGATTCATGACTTGTCATACTGTGATTAGATCTATAGGTATTGATCTGAAATAATACCTCTCGGAATGTTGCTGGGATTAAATGAGATGGTGCTGGGCATATTGCAAGAGCTCAGTAAATAGTTGAAATTAATACTCATAATGCCTTTAAGTCTGGGTAGCTCACCCTATCAGAATTTGAGATCCATGAACGCTACCGATTTGAATACCAGTGCAAACTCTTAGAAACCCTAAATATACTATACTGTAAGCTTTGGCCAAGTCCAAGTATTGAATGTTTAAGTGTTTTACTAATTTATTCCACCTTATTTTGTGACAGCGACACAGAGTAGAAGTACCTAGCTTTTTGTAGAGTATTCTTTCACAGAATTCCCGTTTTGGTCAAAATATATTAGTGGGAAAATTGAAGACACTTCTCAAGAGACCTTGATTCAGTAAAGAAATTTACTTAAAATTAATTAGAATACCATAATAATATACTTCATATAACCATAGAGATGACTTATAAAATGCTTCAATATAATGAATTTGGAATTACGTGTCATTAAACGGAGGAGCAAAGGGAGAATCAAACTCGAAAACAGTGCTCTTGGGATTTTGAGTTTCCATGACTGTGTCTCGTTGATTTAATGAGAAAAATGTCCTTGGTCTCAGTTTAATTCAAGGAGTTCTGTTGCTGCATCTTAGAGTTTGGGTGTGTAATGTCAAATTGTATAAATTTAGGCAGAATTTAGAAGACCTCCCCTGTCCTTTTCTTACAGTTCTAAGAACAAATGAGCCCCAATTCAGTAATTTTTTTTGCCCATGAGGCCTGTTTTCTGATTCTGTCCTTCCAGTGCATTCATCCCGGTAAACAGCCTGCTAATGGTAAAACAATTAGACCACTAATTTAGACCTTAGTTATCTCAAGTTGTCATGGAAGAGAAGGGAGTGGGTCCCTGAGGTGAATTTTCAAATAACGGCGGTTACTGATGATTCTAACAAAAAAGAATTTTAAAATTAACTTTTAATATAAATGCCTATAACGTGTTTTATGTGATTCCCTATCTGATTGCAAAGGAAGGGGAATGAAATTTAACTGTGTTTTGACTCAAGATTTGGCTGAGGTACTTGGCGCTGACTGAGCCGATACCCAAGTCCATCGTATTCTCTCAGTGGCCTTGCCATTGGCTCTCCTTTTGAATGGTCCTGAACACATTTTTGGAAGCTTCTGTTTCTGTTAAAAAAACTACTGTATAATTCATGCTCGTTGTAGAGAAATGA